AATGCTGTTTAATGCCAGTCTCTGGCCTCTGCAACTGCCATCTTTCATGCTGGTCTCTGCCAGTATCTCTCTGCCAGTGTCTTGGCTCTGCTCCTGCCATCTGTCATGCCATATGCTGAGGTCTCTCTGCCAGGGTCTTGGGTCAAGGATGCACTCCACTCCTGTTTCCACATTTTAGGAATCTGTCAGAGCAGCACCCTACTCTCTTGGTACCAAATTCTGTTCTGGTTACCTAGTGTTGCTCTGACAGGAATATACCACAGATGGGATGGCCTTAACAAACAGGAGTTTATTCTTACAATTTGGAGGCTTTAAGTCCAAGTTCAAAGTTTCAGGCTCTAAGGGCTGGGTGAAAGCCCCTCAACTTTGGGGTTCAGCTCTGCCTCCTATTCCTGGCCCACTGGAGTTAGAGACTTTTCTTCACTCAGACAGCTGCTAGCTACTGAGGCTGAAAAACCCAAGGTTGACAAGTAAAAAGGCACAGTCACGATGTAACCAAACCACAAGGCAGGCCATTAATTTAATTTATTATAAATCCCAAAGTAGGTAGAGCATGGCAGGCTGCTGAATGACATGGCTACATGCAGGGTCCAAGTGTGTCATGTGCTAGAGACCATTCCCAAAGCTGCTGCTTATATACAGGAAGCAGACTACATACCTAAAGGCAGCTACTCAGCTGCTTGTGGTAGATCCCACCATGGAGTTGTTTGCCAGTCTCATCATGGGGAATAACTACTACCAACTGTCTAGCCACTCAACCAGGCCCAGCCAAGTTGACACACAAACATAACTATCACAACACCCTCCTTAAGAAAGACTGGATAAGAGAAGAAATAAAAAATGAAATTCAAAAATTCCTTGAATCAAACGAGAATGAAAACACAACATACCAAAATCTTTGGGACACAGCAAAAGCAGTGATCAGAGGCCAATTTATAGCAATACAAGCACACATCAAAAAGAAGAAAGAGCCAAAATCAACACTTTAAACCAACATCTCCAACAATTAGAGAAAGAACAGCAAGAAAAGCCTAGAGTAGCCAGAAGAAAGGAAATACGCCAAAAATAATAATAATAATAAAAAAAAACAAACAGAAAGTAGAAGACAATAGAAAAAATCAAGAAGACTAGAAGTTGGTTTTTGAAAATATTAATAATAATGACAAACCACTGGCAAATTAGCAAATGAAAAGGGAGAGAATACATATAACAAGAATAAGAAACAAATTGGGCAACATCACAATAGAAGCAGCTGAAATAAAAAGGATAATATCAGTATACTATGAAGACCTGTACTCCAACAAATTTGAAAATGGAGAAGAAATGGACAGATTTCTAGAAATACATACAGTAATGTGTTGTCCATGATGGCAAACATTGATCTACCAGTGGATAGATGGGTGGATAGGCCAAACGATTAGGTATGTCTATGCAGAGGATAGTGTGCCCCTGACCATATATACGGTTGGCAGACAGTGTTTCTACAAGTGTATTTGTATTTTCTGTAAGTATTTCCAGGTATATAGTAGAGCTAACAGGGGACAAGTTTGTAGTCACTTCTTAGACACAACCAGCTACCCAGAGGGTGCAAGTAGTTGGACCTGTGGGCTTGGGACCATGGTTGTAGGGGACATCAAGCTCAATCGGCATAACAAACTACAGAAAAATGTTGTTCCATATCCTACTTTGGCGAGTAGTGACTGGGATCTTAAAAGCTTGCAAGCTGCCATCTAGATGCACGGATGGGTCTCTCCTCGTCCAGAGCAAAGAAGAATGAAGATAACCAAAGGCATATGGAAGCAATTAGTCCAAGAGACTGGTACACCATGTGATCCACAGCCTGTATGACTATGAGACCAGAAGAACCAGATGGTGCATCAACCACAAGGAGGGGAATCTATGTAGGAGATCCTGGACAGAGTGGGAGAACAATGTGGAACAAAACTCAAAATCATAAAAAAAAAAAAAAAAAGGACCAAGTTTGCTGGTCTGATAGAGCCTGGTGGAACCCCTGAAACTATGGCCCTTAGTTGCTCCTCAGGTCTGGAATTGAAGCCACTCCTGTGGCTTCCAGCCAAACAAAAGACAGGCATATGAGCTGAACATTTACATTAGGTAGATACCCTCCTTGGAGAGATCAATCATGGGAGAATAGAAGGGCTGTGTATGCACAGGGAGACATCTCTGAAGAGCAGAAAGGAAGGATACAGGGAAGAAGTGGCTATGGGGAGGAAGTAGAAGGAGAGCTGTTGCATTGTGGAAAATTGCAGTCAATATTATGAGACAAAATGTATATGAGCTGCTGTATGTAAAATGAATTTGCTCTGTAAACTTTCACCCAAATCACAATAAACATTAATAATGATAATAATAATAATAATACATGTCCATGTAGGGGGTTTATACTCTCAGTTATTATCTCTTTTTTATGCTTTTTAAAATATAATTACATTGCTTATGCCAGCCATTACATATAGTACATGCAAGGCAATGGGAGCATACTTGTGAAAAGCACATAGATTCCTTTCTTGATAAGGGGATATGATGTCAATGCTTTAAGTAAAACAATGTATGGGATACATAGGAAAGGTCAAGGACCTGAAAACATGAAGATATATGGAATTTGTTTAGAGCAAAAGGACCCCTGGGGTAGTGCAAATGGTTAAATACTTGGCTGCTAACTGAAAGGCTTTGGATGCAAGCCCACCCAAAGTTTCTTCAGAATGGAGGCCTATAGTTCTATTTCTGAAGAGTCTATATTGAAAAGATTATAGTCTATAATCTATCTTACCACTGCCTCCTTATGTAACCATCTTCTTTGAAGCATCTTGGGAATATCATGGCAGCACCCTTCCAACTCAGATTTAAATCTAAGATCGCTACTGGAGTATTGAGATGGTAGGACATTCTATTTTCTAGCATGGGCTCCAAATGCTAAATATCAAACCTACCACTGTCGTGGACTTGAGAGCATTCTGGAAAACCAAAGCTACGGAGCAGTTCTTCAGTATTGGACATTCTTGGAATTTTATATCTCATTTCCTCACCTTGTTTGAAGTGATTCTTCAAACAGAATCACTACTTTTAGCTACCAAAGTGGCTTTTAAGGCCTTTTAGTACTGCATTAGTATGAAATCTATTTTTTTCTCATTCAACCTATGTATCTATCTATGGTCAAGGCTGATAACATCAATGTGGCCTCTCAGTTTTACAGACTCTCAATGGATGTCTTCCACCTCATAGAAGAATTTTGTTATACTATCACCAGCCACCCAGCCATCTGTCAGTTTGTTGTGCTTTGGTGACTTGCATATTGCTTTATGCTGGAAACTGTGCTACCTGCATTTCAAACACCAGTATGGTCATCTATGATGGACAGGTTTTGGTGAAACCTCTAGACTAAAGTAGACTAAGAAGAAAGGCCTGATGATCTTCTGAAATTAGCTAATGAAAACCTTATGGATCACAATAGAATACTGACCAATTCACTTAGTTTGTACACATTATTAGAAGGAATCATTGCTGGAGAAGGATAGTACTTTTGGTGACGAAGACGTCCAGTGAGACCAGTCAGTGTGATGGACTGGTACAATAGCTAAAATGGTGAATTCAAGCATGCTGGTAATCATGAGGATGGTATAAGACCAAGCAACATTTTATTCTATTGTACATAAAGTCACCATGAGAAGGAGTTGACTCTATGACCCATCTCTCTATCTTCTATCTATCTAATCTACCTACCTACCTACCTACTTATCATGTATCTGTCTATCAATCAATGAATCTATTTATCATGTATCTATCTATCTACCTATCATCTATCTATCTACCTATCATCTATCTATCTACCTATCATCTATCTATCTATCTATCTACTTACCTACCTAGCTATCACAAATTAATTTCTTTTTGGCTGTGGATTCCACTCCCTGAATTCTTATTTCAACCTCTCCAAACTAAGGATGGCACTTTTAGAGATTTGGGTAGATCAAGCCAATCCCCATACAATTCCAACATAAATATTATCTTCCTCACCTCTGCCATAAAATGGATTCCTATGTTACTTCAAATCTTGATTAAAGGAATCTCTGTGGATCCCCACCCCAGATATATTTAAGTAATGCATCATTTGCATTGTGTAGTGCTGTTTTTACTTCTATTATTATAGTCTAGAATACATCATGAATATTTGGTAATTTGTCTCTTTGAGAATAGGAACTGTGTCTGATTCATCTTTGAATCCTTACAAATTAACATTGTTCTGGTAATTAGCTGATGTTGAATTATTGCTTCGTTCTCTAATACTTCTTTGCATAACATCATAGTTTTATAAATTCAAGAAATACTAAATTCATTCAATTTCCTTTAATGAATATTTGTTACAAAAATGGAGGTATAAAGTCTTGTTCCCAAGTCCAAATTACTTATTAATTTAAACCTTGAGTTTGCTGAATTATCCAAAATAATTCTCTTTATACCCAAAGAATGGTCTTATTGAAATGTTTGAGATAAACATACATACTACAAGAAGGATATGACAAACATTTCAAGAGTATAAAATTATTTGTAAAAATAACCTAACTTGCTGGTAATCCCACATGGTATTAGAAATGTGCAAAGCATTTTCATGTAAAAGGCTTTTAGTTTATGTATGTGGGTGTTTTTTTGTTTTGTTTTGTGTTTTGTTTTTTGTTTTTTGTACTAAGCACCCTTTTTTATAACTTAGTGTTCCATGGAGTGGTAACTTTTTGCATGCATTTTATCTCCCCATTACATATAGGCTTATAATGGATCCCATGAGAAGGACTTTATAGAATCCAAAAATATCTAGAACTTTTAATGTCAAGATATAAAAACCTGTAAGGTGCTTTATTTCCCTCAGTTCCTAACCAATAGGAGGATAATCTCACAATTTCTTTCTTGTTTCTCAGAAAAAAAATATTACATTTGCACTCAAAATTGTTTCATGATTGCTTGTTGTATCAATGACTCTGAAGTTTCTGACGTCAAAGTGGTTCTTATAATTTTCCTTTAAGGTCAAGTTATTGATTTAGGATTTTATCAATTTTGGTGTCCGGTCTCTGGATATTCACTGAGAACGACCTTCCCTTGATCGTCTTCTAGATCCTAATTAGAAAGAAGAAAGAATATACAGATCTTAAATATGCTGCAACTTTAGAGTTTAAGAATATCGTAATTCTGTACATAACTATCTTTAACAAAGTCTATCACTTGTTATTATATGTTTTACTGTTATCTTAATATTCAGCTTATAGTGCAATGTCACAGTTTGATGAGAAACATATGAAAAAAATAAGTTCAAACTAGGTAATTCTGATTCTTTAGAAAATTTGGATGTTTAGAAGAAATCCCTGATACAACTTTCAGTTAAAAATATTTTTGCAATTGATCCTTTAACTACAAATGTCTATTACACATTGGAGCAGTTTAAAGTCAGGTATGCCTATAATGGGTTTATAAGTTTTGCAACTTCTTGCTAGTATGAATAAGTAATCTCAGAAATTTAAAAGTTATTATTCCAAGATTATTATTTACACTAAATTCCATGAGGAAAATCTTTATCTTTGAATCTATACAAATGTAAGATAATCTAAGTGAAAAACTCAGAAAATACACATAAGTATAATTATGAAGAAAACTGGACTGCCTGTGCATACACATAATCTATACATTTTATCAAAAGCATTATAAGTAGTTATATTAACACTTTTCTGTGTGTATACATTTCAAATTTACATATATCTCAAAATGACATTGTCTCAAAAAAATCCATTTTTATAGTGATCAGGTCAATATATAACTTACTTTTGCTTGCTCAGGCATTCAATAATATATTTTTAACTAGACTGTGCTTGATTGTTCTTTGTTAGCAGCCTAAAGTCTGCCCAGAGATGCCTTGGAAGAAAGGTCTAGCAATCTACTTTCAAAATATCAGTCATTAACGGCCTTATGAAGCACAACTCCGCTCTGACACACATAGTGTTGACATGAATCAGAGCTGTTTCCACAACAACTTGTTTTTGTTATTCTTAGATTCTACTAATAATGCAGGACATGAGCAACTTATTTTCTGATTCTTATTATCAAAATACTTTACCTCAAAATTGACTAACTTTTCTCCCCGACCAACAATAAAATTCAATAAAACATGTTAACATACTCTATTTTTTGTTTATTTTTTCTTAACACAGCAAAACATGTGTCATATATAAATATTAGTATAGTTAATACACTTACCTTGAACTTTCTTGGTGGCTTGTACCTTCCTCACAGGTGTGTCTAAAATTAAATAGTTGTAGTTAGAAATACTTTGAATTAATTAGAAATTATGTCTGAAATCACACAGGAGACTGTAGTTAAGCAGAAAAGTATAAAATTTTACATATATATTACTTAAGCATGTAAGTTTTCTTTTGGAGTAGTAAATGTTATGATTATGAGAAGTTTTCATTGACAGTGGACAAAAAGACATCTGTTTTACATATAGCATAATGAATGTTTACTGTTTTCAAAACACATTTTTCATTATGGCTTTTGAACTATTTTGGCATTAAGTAAATGGTTTACATGAGTTTTTCATCCTTTTGTGAGAAGTATTACTTCCCATCATTTTCCTATTTTGCCAGACAACTCCACTTGTAATATATCAGACTTCTGCCTCTGTAAAATTCTTGGCATTACAGATCAAATAGTGATTATCTTACAGTGCATGAGGACAACAAAACAACATTTGCTGTAGAGAAAAAAAACTACTGAGTAAAAATGAAATTAAGAGGTTTTATTCAGAAAAAATTACATATGGATGTAGGAAAATACCAGCCTGCATAAATGAGAACTGATAACTCCAACTAACAACTTCTAACTAAAGCAGATAGAGTCCATGCAATAAAGAAATTATAATACAGTTGCTTGATTGCTTGGTCTTTGTTTGAGGTCCTAAAGAGATGGTTAAGGGTAGAGAATAGGCTTCTATTGAATAACTGGATATAGAGAATCACGGTCATTGATTTGAGGTTTAAGATTTAATCTTAGTCACATAGCTTTCAGGTGGAATCATAAAATGTCCCTGGTGGGTGTTTACACAGCTTTAACCAGATGTCTCAGGAGTGGGTGAAAACACCTCTTGTTGCCAACATCTTATTTCCCCAAAACAGCTTCTTAAATAAAATTCTTGAAAAGGGGTCTGGGAAACTTTAGATAAAGTCATTCCAAACCCTTTCAAGCAATTCTCTTTATCTCATATTTGTCATGAAAAAATAGGCTTTTGGCCCATTTTATACGAAAAACTATATCAAAATTCCCTTCCACAGAGTGCATTTCTTTTACATCCTGGCTTGACTATAGAGGGAAATTACTTCTTAGTTTTGATAGCTTCTAGCAAGTAATACAGCCAGATAACAGGAGTTTGTAAGGGGAACTGACTTTCAGTCTAAATAGATAAGTAAGAATAGTCTAATTCAGCAAGAATTGCATTAAATTCAACCACTCAGCTTTGGTCAAAAACACTTTATGAATTTCTCCTTTACACTCTAGAAATGTAACAGTAAGCAATTCAGGAAATATTTGCCAGTATCTCCCAAAATGTATTTCCAATCTTACAAGATAATTTTAAAAACTAAACTAGTTAAAAATAACAATATTTTCATGTTTTTCAAGTGTTTCATAATTACATGAATTATGTTGTTGTCATTGTTGTTATAGTTGCAAAGTATTTCTTAATTCCCTTATTTTTCTTTTAATTCACTGACAAGATCACTTGGCTGGCCTAAGTTTCCATTTTCATCACATTGTTGATGGGCATATGAGATCGAAGAGTACATTTGATTCCTACAGTGACCATTTTTCTGCTTACCTTTATTTTTCTCCAAATTTTGACTGCTCAGACATTTTTTTAAAAAAAATATCAGTTAATTTGGGCAACTAAATCAATATTTTTATATTGTATTTTCCATTTTCTGGAATCCCAGAAAAAGTAAGCATGTAACTATCACCATAAGTAATTTTAACTGTAGGACACCAAGTAAATTAAAAATAAATAAATAAGCAACATTTTTTTTAATTTTGAAGAAATTTGTTCATATATAGATAGTTCGTTTCCAACATATCATTTTCCCCTCCCTTTATATAAAGTGTATAACTATTTACTACACCCTATTAATGCCGCAATAAAATACAGAACTACAGCAAATCTCATTAGACTGGATAATGAGAGAAAGCTATAATATCAAAATGCTTCATGTCGAGTGGTGCTATCTTTAAAAGAAGAGCATTATTAAAGGCAAAAACTCAGGTTTGCTACACTTGGCATTCTGCTATCTCAAAATGAAAGATGCAAAATGAGGAAAAGTGACTCGTTATCTGAACCATTTGGCACAAAAAACTTTACCCAGAATATATTCCTAAAACATGTGAAGTGTTTCAGCCCAATTATTTGCAAGTTTCTACATTTTTACAATGATATGACTTGGGAAATTTAAAGCAAGCATGTTATATGTTACTTTAATGATCATGCTAATGTTATTTGGAGATAATACTGATGTTGTTTTTGTTGTTGTTAGGTGCCATAGATAGTGTCCAACTCATTGCCACTCTATGAACAACAGAACAAAACACTGCATCTTTACAAAAGAGGTCTTTTGCAGCAGATTTGCCCAATGCAATATGTTGTCTGATGTCTTGACTGCTGCTTCCATTGGTGTTGATTGTAAAACCAAGTAATATGAAGTCATTGGCAATTTCAATCTTTTCTTCATTTATTGTGATGCTGTTTATTGGTCCACTTGTGATGATTTTTGCTTTATTTATATTGAGGTGTAATCCACACTGCAGACAGTAGTCTTCAATCTTCACCAGTAAGTACTTCAAGTCATCTTCACTTTCAGCAAGCAAAGTTGTGTCACCTGCATATCACAGGTTGATAATGAGTCTTCCTCCAATTCTGATGCCACATTCTTCTTCATATAGTCCAGCTTCTCAGATTATTTGCTTAGCATACAGATTGAATAAGTATGGTGAAAGGATACAACTTGACACACTCCCTTCCTGGTTTTAAACCATGCAGTATACCCTTGTTCTGTTCAAACAACAGCCTCCTGGTCTATGTGCAGGTTCCTCACGAGCACAATTAAGTGTTCTGGAATTCCCATTCTCAATGTTATCTATAATTTGTTATGATCCACACAATAGAATGCTTGGGCTGACTATGTGCCGAACACCAGTCCAAGTGTTAACTATGAGAATTTACTATGAATATTAACTATGAGTGCTAACTCAGGTTACATAAGTAACACTACTATCTCTACTATTTAGATGAGAAAACAAAGCAGGAAAGAGTTATTAACTCAAGATAGTTGCAATTTGAGCCCAAATTGGGAGACAGTCTACACCCAGATTCACTCCATTCCATGGAAGTCATGAATCTTAAAGAAGTTATATTAGCAGATTTGCCAAAAACTTTCAAAATCGCTTTTCTCTTTTGTTCCCGTCTCCATAGCCTGATGTTCTCTCTTAATTTTTCTAGTTGTTGTAGTTGTTAGGTGTCATAGAGTCGTTGCCAACTTATAGTGACCTTAAGTAGAGCAGAATGAAACACTGCCAGCTCCACGATCTTTGCTATACCTGAGCCCATCGTTGTAGCCACTGTGTCAATCAATCCATCTTGTTGAGGGCCTTCCCCTTTTTTGTTGACCTTCCACTTTACCAAGCATGATATAATTCTCCAGGGAAAGGTCCTTTCTTACAACATGACCAAAGCAGGTGAGATGAAGTCTGGCCACTCTAGCTTCCAAGTAACATGCCAGTTGTACTTCTTCCAGGACAGATATTTTGGTTACCTCTGTGCTGCTTCAACAGAAAATACCACAAATGAGATAGCTTGAAGAAACAGGAGTTTATTCTCTTACAGTTTGGAGACTTTAATTCTGAGTTTAAAGTGCCAAGCTCTAGGGGCTGGGTGAAAGCCACTCAACTTTGGTCTTCAGCTCTGCCTCCTGCTCCTGGCCCACTGAAGCTGGAGGCTTTTCTTCACTCAGCTGCTGGCTGCTGAGGCTGACAAGCTCAAAGTTGAAAAGTAATAAGACACAGTCCTGGTATTACCAAACCACACAGCAGGCCATTAATTCAAGTCCATTAAAAGTCCCAAGATTGGCAGTGCATGACAGGATCCTGAACAATGACTCGGCTACATACAGGGTTCAAGTGTGCCATAAGCTAGAGACCATTCTCAAAGCTGTTTCTTATATACAGGAAGCAGACCACATCCCTAACACAGCTACTCAGCTGCTTGTGGTAGATCCCACCAAGGAGTTGATAGCCAATCTCATCATGGGGAATAACTACCACCAGCTGCCCAGACACTCAACCAGGACCAGCCATGATGACACACAAACTTAACCATCACAACAGATTTGTTAGTTCTTTTAGCAGTCCATGGTACTTTCAGCATTCTTTGCCAACACCACAACTCAAAAGCATCAGCTCTTCTTTGGTCTTCCTTATTCATTGTCCAGCTTTCACATGCATATGAGATAATTGAAAATACTATAGCTTTTGTCAGGGACACCTTAGTCTTCAAGGAGATATCTTTGCTCTTCAGCACCTGAAAGAGGTCTTTTGCAACAGATTTGCCCAATGCAATACTTCATCTGATACCTTGACTGCTGCTTCTATTGGTGTTGATTGTAGAAGCAAATAATATAAAGTCTTTGACAACTTCAGTCTTCTCTCCATTTATACTGATGCTGCTTATTGGTCCAGTTGTGAGGATTTTTGTTTTCTTTATATTGAGGTCCAATCCATACTGCAGACTGTAGTCTTGAAACTTCATCAGTAAGTGCTTCAAGTTATCCTCACTCTTGGCAAGCAACATTGTGTAATCGGCATATCCCAGGTTGTTAATGAGCCTTCCTCCAATCCTGATGCCATGTTCTTCTTCATATATTCCAACTTCTCGGGTTATTTGCTAAGTACACAAATGAATAATTTTGGTGAAAGGATACAACCCTGACCCATGCCCTTCTTGATTTAAAACCATGCAATATCCCCTTGTTCTGTTTGAATGTCTTCTGGTCTATGTACAGGTTTCTTATGAGTACGATTAAGTGTTCTGGAATTTCCATTCTTCTCAATGTCATCCATAATTTGTTTTAATCCACACAATTGGATGCTTTTGCGTAGTCAGTAAAACACAAGTAAACATTTTTCTGATATTCTATGCTTTGAGCCAAGATCCATCTGACATCAGCAATGATAGCCCTTGTTCCATGTCCTCTTCTGAATCCAGTATGCATCTCTGGAAGGTCTGTCAGAATACTGCTATAATAATCATTTTTGAATTATTTTCAGTAAGATTTTACTTGTGTGTGATATTAATGATATTATTCTGTAATTTCCACATTCTATGGGATGACCTTTCTTTGTAATGGTACAAATATGAGTCTTTTACAGTCAGTTGGCCAAGTAGCTGTCCTCAAAATCTCTTGGCATAGCCAGGTGAGTGCCACCAGCATGGCATCTGTTTTTTGAAACATCTCAATGGGTATCCTGTCAATTCCTGGAGCCTTGTTTTTCACCACTTCCTTCAATGCAGCTTCAACTTCTTCTTTCAACACCATTGGTTCTTGATCATATGCCACCCCCTGAAATGGATTAACAGTGACCAATTCTTTTTGGTACACTGACTCTCTGTATTCCTTCCCTTTTCTTTTGATGTTTCCTGCATCATATTGTGCATAGAATCTTTCAGTATTGCAACTCAAGGCTCAAATTTTTTCTTCAGTTCTTTCAGCATGAGAAATATTTAGCATGTTCTTCCCTTTTGGTTTTCCAACTCCACATCTTTGCACATTTCATGATAATAATTGAATTTGTCTTCTCAAGTTGCCCTTTGAAATCTTCTGTCCAGCTCTTTTATTCTGTCATTTCTTCCATTTGCTTGAGCGAGTTTCTGCTCAAAGGCAAATTTCAGAGTGTCTTCTGACATACATTTTGGTCTTTGCTTCCTTTCCTGTCTTCTTAATGAACTTTTGTTTTCTTCATGGATGATGTTCTTGATGTCATCCCACAATTCCTCTCATTTTTGGTCATTGGTGTTCAGTGCATCAAATCTGTTCTTTAAATGCTCTCTAAGTTCAGGAGGAATACATTCAAGGTCATAGTTTGGCTCTCATGGACTTTTTAAAATTGTCTTCAACTTGAAGTTAAACTTGCATATGAGCAGTTGATGGTCTGTTCCACAATCAGCTCCTGGCCTTATTTTGACTCAAGATATTGACCTTTTCTATCGCCTTCTGCTGCAGATGTAGTCAATGTGATTCCTGTTTACTGGTGAAGTCCACATATATAACCACCATCTGTGTTGTTGAAAAAAAGTATTTGTAATGGAAAGTCATTGGTCTTGCAAAATTCTATCATGAGATCTCCAGTGTCATTTCTATCACCAAGGCCAAATTTTCCAATTATTGGTGGTTCTTCTTTGTTTCCAACTTTTGCATTCCAATCACCAGTGATGATCAGCAAATCTTGATTGAATGTTACAGCAATTTCAGACTGTAGAAGTTGGTAAAGATGTTCAATTTCCTCATCTTTGGCTTTGGTAGTTGGTGCATAAATTTGAATAATCATAGTATTAACTGGTCTTCCTTGTAGACATATGGATATTATCTTATCACTGACAGCATTTTACTTCAGGATAGATCTTGAAACATGCTTTGTGATTGTGAATGCCACGCCATTCCTCTTCAATTTGTCATTCCCGTCATAGTGATCATATGGTTGTCTGATTCAAAATGGACAAAACTAGTCCATTGCAGCTCACTAATGCTTAGGTTATCAATCTTTATGCATTCCATTTCATTTCTGACAACTTCCAATTTTCCTACATTCATACTTTGTACATTCCATGTTCTGATTATTAATGGATGTTTGCAGCTGTTTGTTCTTATTTTGAGTTGTACCACATCACCAAATGGAGGTCCTGAAAGCTCTACTTTATCCATATCATTAAGTTGATTCTACTGTGATGAGGCAGCTTTTTCCCAATCATGTCTTGAGTGCCTTCCAACCTGAGGAGTTTTATCTTCCAGCACTGTATCGGACAATGTTTCAGGGCTATTCATGAAGTTGTCCAGTAATAGATCAGACAGTGTTTCACTGCTATTCATAAGGTCTTACTAGCCAATTCTTTCTAGTAGTTTCTGTAAACTTAGTTCTACCTAAAACGGATTGGAAGAGTTTAGCAATTCTAGACATTGTAACAATATTTTTTAGTTAATGGCTCTGAAATATTTCTGTGACAAATGACTATATTTACTCCAGAAGGAGTGCTTAACAATATGGTCTTCACTTAAATGATCATGGCATACACTCAACTCAACAAAATGTACTATATGTAAAATACAAGAACTCTGCTGGCACAGTGGTTGAAGCACTCAACTGATAACTGAAAGGTCAGCAGTTTGAACTAACCACCTGCTCTGTGGGAGAAAAGTGAGGCAATCTGCTTTCATAATATGTACAGCCTTAGAAACCAAATGGGGAAGTTCTGCTCTGTCTCATAGGGTCACTATCTAGACCACTCCAAGGTGGTAGGTTTCATTCTGGTCTTACCATAATATAAACAGTTTACATAGAAAACATCAAACCCTCAGATGAAGATCATAGTTTGGATGCATATTAGCTATACTCAGACAGACACAAAAATCAGTCTTGAATGGTATAATTTGTAGTCACACTAGTTTCTTTGTAAATCCATGTCCCTTATGATCTATACAAGAAGAAATTTATGACTCAGTGATGACCTGATTGTTTTACATGGCAGGGAAAAAAATCTCAGCATGTGTAATTAATGTCCAGACACTACTAACTATGATGCTTCTACTGTCTTTCCAATGGGAAGAAAAACGCTAGAACTGTTTTAATAAAAACTTACAATGTGCACTGTGAAAACTAAGCTTTATATATAATAGAGAAACTACATATTGAGGACTAAAAGAATTAATCTCTGGGATGAACAAAAACAATAATTATAAAGGAGTCTATTAACTAGGAAACAATAGAGTATCACACTCCAAATGTATAGCCGGTATATCATCCCTTCTTGACTTAAGTACTTAATACCTTTTTTCAATAGATTCATTAACAAGGGTTTATTAAAAGGGAAAAAGAAATCCTTACTTACCTGAAATTAAACCTAAATGAATTAAAGCAATATAAACAGATGCAGCTACTAATTGATTCATTCTCTAAAAAGCACTGCCATTCTACAAAGCTGCTTATTATGGCAAGGATTTAAAAAAAAAAGAATTCAATTTAATCTACATAAAGTAGTGTTGGCTTCTTCCCTCAAATTCTTAATCTTTTCCTAGCAGAGAATTAGGCAAGTGAGATAGATATTTGAGATCTGTGTTAGATGTTACAGAAGCTTTGGTGGCATACTGCCTAAGGCATTTGGCCATTAACCAGAAGGCTGGCTGTTCAAACCAACCAGCTACTCCACGGAAGGAAGATAACACAATCTACTTCCACAGTGATACTGCCTTGGAAACCCAAGGAGGAGTCCCTATGGGTCAAATAGACTTGATGGCAGTGAGTCTTTTTTTTTTTTTTTTAATTAGATGTTATAGGATCCTTTGGTGCCATATGACTTTAGCTGTGTCATGTACTCCCTGTGGTCTGAAAGAAAGTTTGATCATTTTCAGATCCATATATTTCTATTAAGGGGGAAATAAATCATTGGTTGAATAAAAATTAGGCATTATTATTACCACTGACCAATCTCTAACCAGTATGTGAGATTTTTTCTATATTTACATAAATTGTAAACAATACTTGCCCAAATTACACAAGATCCTATGAGAATTTATATCCTTTTGGACATAATAATTCAATAGAAAGCCCACCTACACTGTATCTTGGATAAATACCTAACTTCAGTTATAGTCCTTAATTCTTACACATTTCAATATTATTCAATTAATTTAAATACTCATTTCTCTAAAACATTTGGACATATTAAAATTTGATTGCTAATGAAATAAATGAAAAATCTATTTACTTAAATTTCAGTGAGCCAGGGAGAGGAGAAGAGGGTAGAGCACAGGCCTTTTTTAAGGTAGTGAAGTTATTCTGTGTGATTCTGTAATGGTGGACACATGAATTATGTGTTTCTCAAAGCCCATAGAAGAATAAAGCACAATGAGTAAATTCTAATGTAAGCTATAGACGTTTGTTAAAAAGTAAAATATCAATTCATTTCTTCATCAGTTGCAACACATGTACCACAAGAATACACACTTCACTTCACTCACTGCTACTGAGTCATTTCCAACTCATAGCGACCCTTCCTTGGGTTTTTGAAATGGTATCTCTACAGAAGTGGATTGTCCGATCTTCCTTCTGAACAAGAATCCCAGGTATTACTAATTATGGAAATAGTGTGTGTGGAGAGGACTATGAGAGCTCTCTCAACTTTCTACACAGTTTTTCTGGAAGTGTAAAACTACTCTAAAAAGTAAAGTCTATTAGTTTAAAAAATTCTAATTTTTCAAATTAGAATTAATTAACATAAACTATTTTTTGAATGATTACTATTTAGAGTTTGTGTGAAACTTTGAATTCTTTTTTTTTTTCTTTTTTGCTTTTAAAGTAAGTCCATTTAATGCCAGAGACAGAGAACATTATATACTATAAAGATTAAGACTAATTTCATATGCAAATATAACATAACCCCCAGGAATAGTTTATCACCCAAATTGTTAGAAGAAACAGATACTCATTCTCAGCAATGCAGGTTGGAAAATAAAGGTGCTAAATGCACTGGTTTTTGCTTTATTGTTCACTTAAAGAATCCATGCCTTTTATGATTGTCAAGGGGGCAGTGAATACATTTTTTAAAATATAAAAAATATATCAATTTGGGTTTGTTTAAATGACTAGCAATTTATTTTTTTCTCCTTTTATATATTTAATATATCCTTATGATTATTATGTGTCAAAGCCAAAAACAGAAAATATGTATTCATTGCTCCCCAACCTTTAGACCATAAACTTTTTAAAGACTGTTAAAACTAGTAACCATTTCTTCATAACTGTTGCATAGACTGCTATTTGATAAATCGTTCTGGTAAGACAATACTTAATGTTGTCTTCTAAAACCCTAATTTAAAACACACAAACCCTACATGTTCAGTCTTTAAAAAGTTGAAGAACTCAGTCACTAGAACCTGTTAAGGGGGTTAGTTGTTTTGTTTTACTAACCTCCCTGAAGCAGTCTTTTAATTTCTTCATCTTCAAATAAATGACCATCACCACCTTCAATGAATTTGGTGACCTTGGTGACCTCTGAGTGGATACATGTTTATAGCAGAAATTGGTTTATGTAATGAAAGACAGGTGACTCGATGTAATAAATAATAGTATCTGCCCAACACTCAGGTATTTCTCAGTTTTTAATAAGTCAATTTTCTCATACATTGAACAATATATGATAGACATACCATCAAGATGACTGCCAATTGAATTTCATTCCTTATCTTTTGACTATTTTTTCTACATTCATATAATACTCAAAAGATGAAATGAGATATAGTAGCAAACATGTAAAAGGACTAAAAGATTGTTTTAAACTATGATACAGATATATTAGTTTTCTAGACATGCTGACCTTCTTGCAGCAATTTCTTCAGAGTTTCTTCTGTGTCTCCTCCACCAGCAGAAATTCTGGTGTATTTTATTTCAGGACCTAAAGAAAAGTTAACAGAAGAGGTTAAATCAAAGGTAGATAACTTTTTCTCAAAAAGAACAGATAGTAAATATTTTAGGCTTTGTGAGCCAAGTGTCTCAGTTACAGCTATTCAACTCTGCTGTCTTCTTGTGAAAGCAACCATAGACAAAATCTAAAGAAATGAGAGTGGCTGGCTCCAATAAAACTTTATTTATACCACATGGCTCAATTTTCAGCCAAACAAAAGGCCTATAAGGTGAAAAATAACACCAGGGAGGTTGATTAGAACAATCAAGCATAAATGATTAAAAGAGCAGCATTTGCCCAGGGATAAAGCTCTGAAGGCAGGAGGGATAGGAAATGGTAAATGTAGGGAGGTGGTAGGAAGAAGGCTGTTAAATGGTGGGGATCACAATCAATATCATGAAACAAAATGTATATGAATTGTTAAATAGAAAATGAATTGCTCTGTAAACTTTCACCCAAATCACAATAAAAAAAGTTTTTTAAAAAATTTTATTTATAAACAGACCACAGATCATAATTTTAGGACCTAAACTGTGGTGTAAAAAAATACTTGCAGAATATTTGATTTCAGAATTTTAGGTTATTTGATAGGTAGAAGACTGGCAGAGAGGTTTACAAAAATTTTTGATCAATTGCTTTATACAAACTTCCATATATTGTAAAATGTGCAAATCTATAGCATAGTAGCTAAAGCACTTGACTGCTAACCAGAAGGCTGGTGGTTCAAACCCACCAGCCACTCCTCGGAAGGAAGATGGGGCAATCTACTTCCGTAGTGATACTGCCTCGGAAACCCAAGGAGGGGTCGCTATGAGTCGGGTCCGACTCGATGGCACATAACAACAACAACAACAACATAGCCTTTAAGGAACTCTGGTAGTCCAGTGGTTAAGGCACTTGGCTGCTAACCAAATTGTTGGTGGTTCAAACACACCACCTGCTCCACAGAAGAAAGATGAAATGGTCTGTCATTTACAGGCTTGGAAACTTTATGGGGTCACTGTGAGTCAGAATCAGTTAGATGCTGTGAGTTGGGAGTTTAGTTTGTAGCCTTCAAGATCAATGGAAAATCAAAGGAGGGAAGGATTTTTCTTCTGGGATTTGGTAACTCACTAATAAATACCAAAGTGAAGATAATGCATTAAATAATATTCATGCTTACTCATAATAGAGACACATGCTTATAGATTTAGCTACCAAATATCCAATTCAGAATAAAAAATAGATTTGCATATTTAGAGTCATATTATTTCTGCCAAACAAAAACAAATGGACTTCAATAGACATCACAAAAATGATTAGTTTCTCTATTTATTCTTATAGAGATATTATAGGGTTGAATATTTTTTTTAATAACACAGACATAGGTACACATGTGAAATTAAAGATTACCTTTGATGATTCTTTCTTCTCGTGTCTCTTTTTCAGTTATTTCCACAGGCACTCCATCAATTATCTTTGTGTACTTTTTAATAATTGGCTCTAAAAGTAGAGGAAGAAAAATACATTTGATTTATCCCCAAATAGTGTGTATAAAGAAGACATTTTAATGGTTAAATGTACTTCTTTAAACAATACTATTTATGATTCAAACATAATCATTTTTGGAAAATATCTCAAATAAATTCAGAGTAATATAACTCTGGTGGTGTAGTGCCTAAAACATTTGACTGCTAACCAGAAGGCTGGCATTTCAAACCCACAAGCCACTCCTCAGAAGGAAGATTGGACTATCTATTTCTGTGGTGATACTGCCTCAGAAACTCAAGGAGGGGGCACTATGAGTCAGATCCAACTAGACGGCAGTGAGTTTGATTTGGTGAGTTTTGAAAAGTTAATAGTTATGTCCTGAATTTTGGGGGAAGGAGAGAGCTATCTGGGAAGCTAACTCTCTATGTCATACTTGCTTTCTGGCTGGGGAATGAGTATTTAGTGAGAATGCAGGGTGTTAGATACCATTAAAATGAGAACCCTATAAGAAATCCTATCAGTTGCCAATGACTGAGTTCTGACTCATGGCTATCCCAAGTGTGTCAGAGTAGAACTGTGTTCATAAGGTTTTTAATGGCTGATTTTTTGAAAGTAGGGCCTCAGGTCTTTCGGTTAACAACAGAGTGTGTAACCGTTTGCATCACTGAGGGACTCTATAATGAACCCTAATATAGCAGCTCTGGTAGCACAGTGCCTAAGGCACTTGACTGCTAACCAGAAGGCTGGCGGTTCAAACCCACCAGCCACTCCTCAGAAGGAAGATGAAGCAATCTACTTCCCTAGTGATACTGCCTCGGAAACCCAAGGAGGGGTCGCTGTGAGTCGGGACCGACTCGACAGCCAATAACAACAACAACAACAACAACAATATGGTTTATTGTTGGAGTCTTATGCAGTTGCTACTGTATTTTCATCTATTTCTGAATACAGTACTGATATTTTGTACTGATATTATTGTTATCACTGTATTTCCTAATCATCATATGAATATGCAGAAGTAATGACAGTTTTACTGCATCTGGCAACTTAATCATTAAATTAATTCCCACTAGATCCCTGTAAAACAAAAATATATTATAATTCTGATTGGCTAACAAGAACTAAGAAGGCCATTTTCACAATTTATATAACATAGAAGTCAAGAAAAAAAAATTAATGTTTGATATTTTTAATCCAACTCTAGTTCAAAATAATACTGTCCTGGCTAGACAACAGAAAACAGAAATAACACACCTCCATGAATCACTTCAGTTACTGTTTCACCTTCTTTAATCAGTCTGAATTCAGGTTCACCATCAATTCTGACCTTTGTTATTGTGGGTCCTGAGACATTATCATAGGAGACAAATGATCATGTTAAAACCAGTCCTTTACATTTACCAGAATAGGAAGTTTATTTCAACATATAGTGTTATTCAAATATCAAAGTGGTTTCAGTCTTTTGAAATGAGTTTTATTTCCTATTGTCTTCAAATTAGGCAATATTTATGGGAACTAATGACTCCGTCCACTGGTGTGCTCTACTAAAATTAGTTTCATCAGCATTTGAAGTGAGAAATAAATACATCTCTTTTCAATGGCAGTGGTAAAGTAATAATGATACAAAATACATGTGGTTATAATTTGTGAATCATACAGCATATACAGATGTGAGTTACTCTAAATATAACTAGTGTATATATAACCTTACCATACACATTTCCAGCATCATTAATTTAATTTTTTTAATTACTCAGTGTCCTATAATTTTGATCTAAAATTTTGATCTAAAATGGGCACAGGACTAAACATAAGAAAACCTCAATTTTATGCCTACCTTTAAGATAGCGAGTTTTAGGTTTTATGGGAAAAATGATTTTGAATACTTACCTTCCATCTGGAACTGATGCAAATATGCAAATATTAACTAATTAATAACCGAACAGTCCTTCATATGCAAGAATTAAACAAGTGCTGTATGTAATTTGCAAAATGATTTTGCTCCAGGAGAAAATCATTTTGAATGTTAGAAAGCTGATTATTACATTAGTTAATCAGGACTTTCATAACTATTATTCATTAGTTAATCAGAATTTCATAAAGAAGAAAAGTAAAGTTCAGTACATTTAACTTATACTGTAATACCCTGTAATAGTTGAATATCATTATAATTTCTAAACTTTTATAGGATTTATTTGCTTATCCAGAAATTGTCAACATACACCATTACCCAGAGCTAAATAGTCTAAAATAATAGAAGTAATGAAAAAACATACAGTTATTTAAAACTACATATGTTTCACATCATAATATTTATTCTATGGGGGAAAGTAATATTCACTATCAAACTATATGTCTAGATTTTTAACATCCAGCAACTTAAAAAAATAATGTACACCTAAGGAATTTAAAGACAAGAACTTAAAGACAAGACAGCTAATAAAATATCAGAATCAACATTGCTTTAGAAAAGTCTCAGTTGAAATTTCAGAAACATCATCTTTATATAAATTCTATGAAAGCAGAGATTTCTACCAATTATTTTTTCATATTTATTCCTAGCACATGGAAGAGTATACCCATAACAACAGATGTTCATTAAGTATTTGTTGAATTGAATGTCAGTTGACTTATTCTTAAGTATGAAGTTTGGTTAAGAAACAACTTAAAATTGTGTCTTGGAGCCACATTTATTTATCAAGAATTGAAGAGTCATCAATGAATGGTTGAAGATCAAACAGAGAGAAGGAAATGCCCATAACAATCTTCAAAGCTAGGTAACTATAAATGGCTGTGAAGGTAAGTATTCGTTACCTTCATTACACTACACAGAAATAAAAATTTTGAATTTTTGAAATGAAGAATTGCTAATGAATAGCTGACATGGCAACATCTAAGTGCAGAAAGATTAATGTGGGTAGAATCCATCTGACAAAGATAGGAAAAACTGATGAAACTTGAAAGAGAAAGTAATCTTTGAAAATAAGAACAACAGCGTATGTGAATACTTTCAGTTATAGAAGCTGTGTTCAAATGAAAATACAAAATTTTAGGGACTCTGATTTTAAAAAAACAGTACAAGAGTTTTAAAATCAAGTATATGATCGAGGATTATTCTTTTATTTTATTATTATTTTTTTTTTACAAAAATGATCAACAATATTTTCTCAATAAAAACCAGTAATTTAATTCTCTTCTTAAAACATCAACTTATGTTCATCAGTATGTAAAAACAATCAGATGACCACAAGTACAGTATTTTTTTAAAAAAATAGCACAGATTTAAAAGAATAACTCAATTGTAAGTTTCAAGAATGACTGAAAATATAGATAACTAATTAGCATGTTCTAGTTTATTCTATCTATAGAATAAAGAAGATAACCAGGCCCTTTCTCTATTGCAAGTCATCACAAGAAAATACTTAGAAATGGAAATGAGAAATTTTTAAGGTCTGATCCTTGGAAATAACTAAAATACATGCAATGAGAGTAACATCAAGGATGTTGGATTTGGCAGTAGATGTTGAGAGAAAAAGACTTATTTAATGTTTAATCAGAAACATCAATGAGAAGTTACGTGTAAATTTAGGGCTGGGATTATGGTTTATAAAGTTCTACTCAGTGTACTAGGTATTTGTGTTCTCTCTGTTTCTGGTGGTCTGGTTTTAAAACATATTATGTGAGGTTGTGATTTTTTAAAAGCTTTTATCAATTTACTACTTTTATACTCTATTGGGATGCAGAATGAGGAAAAAAAATCAGAAGGAGCTTCTTGTTATAGTACAAATGGGACTCATATCAGGAGATTGTTGAAAGCTATAAAAGGGTATACTCTGAAATAATCTAAATGAAGCAAAAACTCCAGAATTTGCTTAGTGAGTATCTGGGTACTAGTGATACTGCAACAGTCAATTAGGCTCAAATTAAATCAAGTACCAGCAAATGTACTGAAAGGATTAGGAATGCACTATTTACTATGCTAAAAAATTTGCACTCCGCATTCTGCCATTACAGGAGCATGCCATGGGTATAGAAATATTTAGCATGTTAGTTTCAAAAAGAATGTAGATGTATTTATAGAAATGTGGATTTTTTTCATAGTAAAAAGAACCATGTATAACATTGATTTTTTACCTTCAGTTTTGATTATAGGCTGAAGACTGCCTTCAATCACTTTAATTTTTGGTTCCACAACTTTGGTTATAATTTTAGTTGCTGAAAAGTATAGAAAGTGGAACAAGAATGATGTTTATGTAAAAACAACCTGAACAGAAGTGTCCTTTTTTTTTTTTTTGTCTTTGAAGAGTACACTGAGGTATCAGATGTGGTAATATGTTTAGGCAGTCAGATACAGGAAATACTCAGGATAAATTATCTAGTATCTTCTTATGTCCAGATGTTGAACTCTGAAGCACAGTGACTTGGAATTGTTCCAGTGAAATATATACTTTCTAAATGAGGGATTCTATCTAAAAAACTGTAATTCTGAACTGCACCACTGAAGTTGTTTACCTTCTTTTGCACTTCTTGAAAATATTGGCTGTATAGCAACAGAAGACAAACATAATTAATTTTATGCAATTCATAATATCTAAAATTGCATGGTTGGATTCTGTTCAATTAGAAGAAAAAATGGCAGAAACAGACTTTATAATTTTTTTCATGCATTTGATAACAAGTATATAGAAAGGAGAATATGAAAAATAGTTCAGAATACTTAAAAATAAAAATAAATTTAAGCCAGCCAGTCATGAGCTCTATGCAACAAAATATGATATGTTCAGCATTTTAATTTTCAAAATAAAATGCCTTTGATTTTCATACAATTGTTTTAAATTTAAAGATGTAACTTTTATATGTATGTCATCTACGTAAGTAGGATAATAATGTACAAGGCTTATTTAAAATATTAGTCAACTATGTGGTTGACTTTTGGTTGTATGCATTCACTGAAAATGTGTTTCTAGTGCTTTACAACTTCCGCTCTTGACTTTCTGGCATTATTAATTGTTGTTGTTGTTTTATGTACCAACCAGTCATTGCCACCCTTCCTTGGGTTTGTGAGGCAGTATCTCTTTGGAAGTAGATTGCTCCATCTTCCTTCTGAGGAATGGCTGATGGGTTTGAACCACCAGGCTTCTAGTTAGCAGTCAAGTGTCTTAGGCACTATCCTACCAGAGCTCCTGCATTTTTAATTAGAGGCCTTAAAAGATGGTCTGGTTAGACAGAGGGTTGCACTGAAACTGACTTTGCAATCACAATGGATGATGTTGGCACATGAGAAACGAAATGTTAGCACATTTAGAATTTCTCTGACATTCTACCTCAGGTTTTTGAGTTTAACTGCATCAGCTTTTTGAATGAATGTGGATCGTAAGCCTTAATTGATACTATATTTTATATTCTATCACTTTCTATATCTTGAGATTGCAAATTATGAAACTCTAAAATATATCAAATTTGTGTTCAGTAATTGATTTTACCACCATATATGGTCTTGCCACAGAGAAATCTCTCTACGAAGATCAAATTCACAGAGGTCTCTTCCTCAGCTATCATCATGGTTAATTATTTTTAGCTTAATATTTACATCATGTTAGGGAACTTGAACTTTAGAGTGTTTTAGTTAGTTGGTGGATTTGTTCCAATATAGCTTTTCTGCAGACTTAAAGAGTTTTGGCAGGCAATTGCTAAAAGTTAAATACTGATGTTAGTCCCCTTCATCTCAAACTTTATATATTTTATACTACACTAGAGAGCATTTCTCCTTCATATAATTTAAAACTCATGGTATATGGGATACAAGAATAATACACAGCAAGGAAATTAAAGAAACTTTACAGGAAAGTCCACAAAGGAACACAGAAATGGAATCTTTGGTTTAATTGGTCTCTATCTCCATCTGAACTATGCTTCTAAATAACATTATATCCATCCTGCAGCAAAAAAAAAAAAAAAGCATTGCACATTGGTATGTAAATATCAGAGCTATTTCAAGACCTCTGAGTAGGTAGGCAGGATTCATTAGTCTTGCAAAATTTCATGAAGTTTTGCTATGCTCAATGAGTGAGTATTAAATTTTAATAGAGAAATATAAAAGGATTATGAAAATATTTTTGGCTCATTATAAGTAAAATATTGCATTAACATTAAAATATTGTATGTGTGTGTGTATGTGTGTGGAATTGAAATGATAGAGAATATAAAGAAAGATTTTATATATAAGTGTATATCTATACCTATATATATTTTAGTGGTGAAAGATGACATAACATTTCTGATGAATAGAGCCCATAAAGATTTTTAAATTTATATAATGTATATCTTTAACAGTATTTCAGACTAGATTTTATGTCATTTTGAAACACAGACTTCTGAAGTTTTAAACACTGTGCTGAGCTGGCCTGACAGTGATATATGTTTTATTATTACATAACTGAAATCAATAAGAGCAGCAGACATTTTGTTTTGCTCTTTATATTAGCTTTATTCTTTTATAACCCCTGGTATAAATCTTAAGGAAAAATTTCTTCACTAAATAACTGAAAGCTTAGGGTATAAAATAGAGTCCTTTACTAGCCAGAATAATGTGAGAATTGAAGTAACATTCAACTTACATCATGTTAGGGAACTTACGGTTTAGAGTGTTTAAGTATTTTGAATATTTAATTGTAGAGTCAAAACAAAACGCAAAGAATTTCTGCTTTTGAAAGTTACAATGAGAAAGTGACAAAGGAAGAAAAAGCACAATGAAAAAGAAATCTTACGAGGTATATTTATGACAGTGAAATAGGATTTACAGTCATTTCTTTAAATAATAGGGGTATAATTTTGATAATCTGGTAGTGTCAGAGAAAATAAGAACCCTGGAATCGAGAAATGTGAAGTCAATCACCTGGCCGACTTTTGTTCTCTCATCCAGTTTTTGATGGGGAGAACTTTTGAACCAGCTCCTAAACATTAGTATTCTTTGTATCCCTTTCCACTCTGCCCTTAGACCTCTGAGGACTTGAAGGAGGAATGAGGGATGAGTCCTTCAGCAAAGTTGTTTCTGTGTCCACATATCTAAATTTTCAGATAGTTTTGGAATGCTGTTTTTGCTTTCTCTCTCTCTCTCTCTTTTGTCTGTCTCTCTCTGCCAATTAGCCTCTATCTTTTACTTCCTTTCTCAGATCTTATCACTCCTGTATTAGGAAGTTTAGGGGAGGGTTCATTGGAGTTGAAAGGCATGACAAAGGCTGAAGGACCTCCACCCAGATATCAAGCCTGCATCAAGTGGGATGAGATTTACCATTATTTACAATTCTAAATACCAGATTATCAATAATCTTTGTTTGTAAATACAAAGGAAATTATTATGTTTTCTTTCTTTATATCTCCCCACTTATATGTGACAAGTGTTCAGTATGTACTTACTGTAGACAGTCATGGGGATTTCTTTGAAGGTACTACCACGAACAAACTGAAAATAAATGCTTATATTTAGTACCATAAATGTAGCAGTGATATTTAAAAAATCATAGCATTGTTTTAATTCTCATTAAAGTAAAAGTAATCCATCTATCATTACACTTAACAGAAATAAGTGAAGTTCTCAGAAAATTCATTTTCTAAATAACATATTTCCTTGTTAGCATGCCCAGATGACAGAAATATCTTTATATTTATTATTGTATAATAATTTGTTAGGTAATATTTCTTTTATTTTCTGATACTTTGACCCTGTAAGGACAAGGAATAAAACATACTTTTGCCTTTCACTACTGTGATTGGTGACGACTTTTTATAAGCAAACATTTTAACTGTCCCTCATATTTGGTAGCAAAAGTATTTGACATTGTTTATGTGTGCATCATATTGTGCCAACTGCACAGTAAATATTTTTTAGAAAAGGGTCATCTCAGATTAACATGAATATTTTTCATAATAGTTAAAACACTTCCTGGTTCCAAGCAGCTTTTTCATAGATATTTATTGCATAAAACCATGGAGATGTAATGTTGCTATTTCTTTACAGAGCTAGTGGTGCTTAAGCAACAAAGAACAATCTAAGCCCAGTGCCCATCTATTTCCTTCTTTCTTTTTTTTTTGAGTAATGTTTTATTAAATGTTTAAGGTGAAAGTCTACACAACAAAATGGGTTCCCTATCTCTACACAAATTATTCTGTAATATTGGTTGCATTTTTCATCATTGTGTCATCATTCTTATTTATTCCATTCTAGTTGTACCATTTTCAGGGATCTAGTTTCTCTGTCCCTTCTTTGCTTTAGTGTATTTTTGACCTTTTGCTCACATATAGATTATTTTTTTAAGGAGCTCATTACTCATGGGTGATATTATTCATGAACTAATCTGTTATTTAACTAAAAGATGACTTTAAGGGATATTTTTGTTTAAGGTTTAAGGTGATTGTCTTGTGGTGTTCTCTAGTCTCAATTGGTCCAGTAGGTGCCTCTATTTCCAAATGCATACATTTCTAACCTACTATGTTAAGCCTGTAATATTTATTCAAAATATTAAAAATAAATTCAGTATCAGGGAGTACCTTAATTTGGATGTATTTGATCAGTTTATTAAGTATTTCCAGCAGCTGATCATTTCCAACTGGTGTGTCTATGAAAGGAAATATTAAATGAATATTATTAAGTGTGAAATAAAGAACTAGGTACCAATTTAAAACTATTGAGATCAATAATTACTAACCTGCTGGATAGAGGAGCTTATCTACAACATGAATGACACCGTTTGTTGTCATAATGTCAGATTCTCTTGATTTCAATTCATTCACCAGAAGTGTATCATTTACCTATCAACATAGGGATAATGTCAATGAGAAATTTAATGAGGAATGAAAGTTAAAATAATTTAGAGATGGCTTATCACTATAATAAATTCCTTATAAAGAACTTACTCCTTTCAGATAAATTTTGCTTCCTTGTGTGGTCTTTAGAATGTTAGTAACACCTGGTTCAAATCCCTTTCCAATGAAAACTCCTGGTGTCAAGTGGTAAAGAATAATGTTTTGAAGAGCATTTTTGTCCCCTATGAGAAAAAGATATATATGTATTTAATACTATGTCATACATGCATACAAAGTCTGACTCTATGATACTGCAAGGACTTTGGAGCTAAATATTCCTTTGTTGTCAGGTGACATTGAGTTGGCTCCGATTCATAGCGACTTTATGTACAGCAGAAGAAAACTCTGTCCGGTCCTGTGCCAGCCCCATGATCTTTGTTATGCCTGAGTGCATCATTGCAGCCACTGTGTCAATCCATCTTGTTGAGGGCCTTCCCCTTTTTTGTTGTCCCTCCATTTTGTCAAGCATGATATCCTTCTCCAGGGAATGGTCCCTCCTTACAATATGACCAAAGTAGATGAAACAATGTCTGGCCATTCTCTCTTCCAAGGAGCATTCCGGCTGCACTTCTTCCAGGACAGATTTGTTAATTCTTTTAGCAGTCCATGGTACTTTCAACATTCTTTGCCAATACCACAACTCAAAAACATCGACTCATCTTCAGTCTTCCAACTCTCACATGCATATGAGGTGATTGAAAATACCATGGCTGTGTCAAGCAGACTTTAGTCTTCAAGGAAACATCCTTGCTCTTCAGCACTTGAAAGAGGTCCTTTGCAGCAGATTTGCCCAATGCTGTATGACGTCTGATATCTTGACTGCTGCTTCCATTGGTTTTGATTGTAGAACCAAGTAATACAAAGTCTTTGACAATGTCAATCCTTTCCCCATTTACCAAGATGCTTCTTATTGGTCCCATTGTGAGGATTTTTGTTTTCTTTAGATTGAGGTGTAGTGCATACTGCAGACTGTAGTCTTTAACCCTCATCAGTAAGGGTTTCAAGTCATACTCATTTTCAGCAAGTAAAGTTGTGTCGTCTGCATATCACAGGTTGTTAATGAGTCTTCCTCCAATCCTGATGCCACATTCTTCTTCATATAGTCCAGGTTCTCAGATTATTTGTTCAGCATACAGATTGAATAAGTATGGTGAAAGGATACAACCCTAATGCACTCCCTTCTTGACTTCAAACCATGCAATGTCCCCTTGTTCTGTTCAAACAACAGCCTTCTGGTCTATGTACAAGTTCCTCATGAGCACAATGAAGTATTCTGGAATTCCCATTCTTCTCAATGTTATCCATAATTTATTATCCACACAATTGAATGCCTTTGCATAGTCAATAAAACACAAGCAAACATCTTTCTGGTATTCTTTGCTTTGAGCCAAGATCCATCTGACATCAGCAATGATATTCCTTGTTCCACATCCTCTTCTGAATCCAGCTTGCATTTCTGGAAGTTCTCTGTCAATATACTGCTGCAACCATTTTTGAATTATCTTCAGTAAGATTTTACTTGCATGTGATATTAAAGATATTGTTTAATAATTTCCACATTCTGTGGGATCACCTTTCTTTGAAATGGGTACAAAAATGTGTCTGTTCCAGTCAGCTGGCCAGAGAGCTGTCTTCCAAATCTCTTGGCATAGCTGAGTGAGTGCCTCCAGTGGGCCATCCGTTTGTTGAAACATCTCAATAGGTATTCCTTCAATTCCTGGAGCCTTGCTTTTCACCACTCACTTTAGTGCAGCTTCAGTACCATTGGTTCTTGATCATATGCCGCCTCCTGAAATGGATGAACATTGAGCAATTCTTTTTGGTAGAGTGACTCCGTATTCTTTTCATCTTCTTTTGATGTTTCCTGCATCATTCAATATATTGCCCAAACAATCTTTTAATATTGCAACTCGAGGCTTAACTTTATCTTCAGTTCTTTCAGCTTGTGAAATGCTGAGTGTGTTCTTCCCTTTTGGTTTTCCAACTCCATATCTTTGTACATTTCTTTATAATAATTGACTTTGTCTTCTTGAGCTGCTCTTTGAAATCTTTTATTTAACTCTTTTATCTCGTCATTTCTTCCATTTGCTTTAGCTACTCTCTGTTCAAAGGCAAGTTTCAGAGTCTCTTCTGACATCCATTTTGGTCTTTTTTTCCTTTCCTGTCTTTTTAATGACCTCTTGCCTTCTTCATGGATGATATTCTTGATGTCATCCCACAATTACTATGGTTTTCATTCATTGGTGTTCAATGCATCAAATCTATTCTGTAAAATGGTCTCTAAATTTAGGAGGGATATAATCTAGGCCATATTTTGGCTCTCATGAACTTGTTTTAATTGTCTTCAACTTCAAGTTGAACTTGCAAATGAGCAGTTGATGTCTATTCCACAATCAGCTCCTGGCCTCATTTTGGCTGAAGATATTGAGTTTTCCATTGCCTTCTGCCACAGATGTAGTCAATCTGATTCCTGTGTACTCTATCTGGCAAAGTCCAGTCTTTAATTATTTCTTTTCTTACACTCTATTATTTCTATAACATCATTGTATTCTCAAGTTGATAACAAAAGCATGTGAAATATACAGTCATTTCAATCAGATCAATTAAAATATAACCCAACTTACTAGTAGAACAAAATCAAATTATTGTAGAAATTATGAGTATTGCCTTCTTTTTCACCTAGTTGCATAGCCTTTAATAGAAATGACTTAAGTGAACATCTAGCCAATAGCTGCCATTGAATTAACTCATGAATACCTCATGCACAATAAGATCATTATGATACATAGGGCTTTCATTTGCTGTTTTATTTGGAAGTAGATCACCAAGCCTTTCTTCCTAATTTGTTTTAGTCTGGAAGCTCCGCTGAAATCTGTTCAGCATCATAGCAACACTGTAGCCTCCACTGACCGACAAGTGGTGGCTGTGTATGACATATACTGATGGACACTCTTACTGAGTCTTCTGCATGGAAGGCAAGATTTCTACCACTTAACCAGCACTGTCTGATAGGAAAATAGTTAACAAAGAACATTAATGAGTGACCCTCCTCCACTTATCCCAAGTGAAATTGAAAGGAATTGAACACTAGCCACAAATATGAACTAAAGGATATTTCTGAGACACACATCTGTCCAGAAAAGATCATTGAACATATTAGAATCTGAAATCAAAGGGTAGCTGTGGTAGTTAAGGTTGTGTGTTAACTTGGCTGGGCCTGGTTGAGCGGCTGGGCAACTGGTGGTAGTTATTCCCCATGTTGAGACTGGCAATCAACTCCATGGTGGGACCACAAGCAGTTACGTAGCTACGTAGCTGCTTTAGGGATGTAGTCTGCTTCCTGTATATAAGCAGCAGGTTTGGGAATGGTCTCTAGCTTATGGCATGCTTGAACCCTGCATGTAGCTGAGTCATTGTTCAGCAGCCTGTCATGCTCTGCCAAACTTGGAACTTTCAGTGGACTTGAATCAATGGCCTGCCATGTTGTTTGAAAATATTGGGACTATGCCTTTTTACTTGTCAACCTTGGGCTTGTCAGCCTCAGCAGCTAGCAGCTGTCTAAGTGAAGAAAAATCCTCCAGCTTCAGTGGGCTGGGAGTAGGAGGCAGAGCTGAAGTCCAAGGTTGAAGGGCTTTCACTCAGTTCCCAAAGCCTGGCATTTTGAACTTGGACCTAAATCCTCTGAACTGTAAGAAAATAAACTCCTGTTTGTTCAAGCATCCCGTTTATGGTATATTCCTGTCAGTGTGGCACTAGATAACCAAAATGGCAACTATCTGGTATCACTTCTACTCACGAATCAGAATTTCTTTTTCTTCATTAGTCATTCCCTTAAAGGCATCATTGGTTGGCACAAATAAGGTCCAATCTCCAGGTTGTGTCAGAAGATCTTTCAAGTCTGCAGCTTCAAGTAAGCTGAGGAAGATGCTAAACAGGAAGGATATATGTTTATTTTGTTAGTTTTGTGCTGACTTAAGTCTCCATCCACACGAGTGCATAAACAAAATGTAGTACATAATACAATGGAATATTTCTCAACCATAAGGAAAAATAAAGCCCTAATCCATTCTACAACATGGATAAACCTTTGAAATAAATCAACCACAAAAGGACAAATACTGTATGTTCTCACGTATATAAAATAACAAAAAAAGACAAATGTATAGAGACCAAAGTTTACTAGTGATAACCAAGAGATGGAAGAAGGCAGAAAGAGTTTGCCATTGTTTAGAAAGCAGCAAGTATATATGGTTGTGTAAATTTAGCAATGATTATGGACGGTGGTTGTACAACATGATGAATGTAACCAGTATCACTAAATTATTAACACTGATTTGGCAAATGTTGTGTTATATATATATTTACAACATTCAAACAATTACATATGTTCACTCATAATGCATTAACATAGAATCCATTAATTGCAGAAATAATGAAAAAAAAAAATTCATATATTTCCAATCCAATTTACTTATTAAGAAAGTTTTATCATGAGTAAATGATCTGAATATACACTGTAATTCTTAAATTTCTCAAACTCTGTTTTTGGTGTATAAACTTCAATGAGGCTATACATTGTAATAAAAATGAAGAATATTTTTTCATTTAATATTCTATAAAATTGTCTTTTCTAGATACCTTATCACTTTATTAAACTTAATTATAGAAGTATTGAAGAAAGAGTTCAGTATATTAGCTTTTTCTTTCTCACTCAATCATGCTATGTTGCACCAAGAAGTAATAACAATAATAATAATAATGTTTAAAAGGTACTTTAATTTGAAAACATTCACACAGACTTCTTATTCTAAATACTGTTCTTCACAAAACAGGAGGCTGAATGACTTTTGCGATAGTAACTGAGCAACAGAAAATTCCAATTGCTCCATTTTTTTGTGGAAATGAAGTTAATAAGCTTACCTGAAGCGCTTATCCTGTTTTAATTTTTCATGCAGTGATTTCTCTGCTGGTTTGATGATTTCTCGGAATATATGAATAGCACCATTTCTTCCTTGTTTGCTTCCTCTCACCATGCATGAATTTTCAATGCAGACAGCCTAGCAAGGTAAAAAAGATGCATGCTCTCCATTTCCTTACTTGAAATTTCTTATGTGGACATAATTGCATAATTAAATTTCTGGACTGACTCTTCTGAGAGGTCATCTACCACATAAGCTATAGTAAATAGCTTCTCTTCTGTTTTGAAGGTCTTTCACAATCTGATCTCACACTTCTTATCCAACCAGATTTTCTACTACTAGTCAAACTACCCCATGTTTCTAGCAGGTATATATGTGTTTAATATATAACCCACATAAGGTTTCCACAACTCTGGTGGCATAGTGTCTAAGGCATATGGCTGTTAACCAGAAGGCTGGCAATTCAAACCCACCAGCCACTCCTCAGAAAGAAGGTTGGGCAATCTATTTCTGTAGTGATACTGCCTTGGAAACTCAAGGAGGGCTTGCTCTATCAGTTGGATCTGACTCGATGAGGGTGAGTTTGGTTTGGAATTACAAAGTAAAATATAAAAATTTCATTGAAATTCACTTCTATAGTTTCCGTTGTTTTTACTTTATTCCTCTCCAGATTCTAACTATTCCTCCAGATGTCTTTAAAAAAAAAAAAAAATGTCATTGAATTGATTGCAACTCATGGTGACCCCATGTGTTTCAGAGTAGGACTGTTCTCCATAGGGTTTTCAAAGCCTATGATCATTCAGAAGTAGATCACCAGGGCTTTCTTCTGAGATGCCTCTGGGCATTAGATTACACTGCTAGCTTTTCTGTTCGTAGCTGTTGTTTATGCCACTCAGGGACTCTCCACACCCTCTTTAGGTCAATATTGACCGTGAAGTTTCCAGGGCCCTTTGTGATTTTCCTCTCCTTTAGATTCAATCAAACAAAAATTTACTGTATTGTTTTAACCCAATAATCTGTAAATCCAATCAGTGATTTAATGACAGTTTTTGAAAAAAAAATGTAATCTATGTTTATTTATAATTTTAAATATAGCCCATTTTCTGAATAATTAAAAATGCATTTCTTGGAATGGTGGATATACAGTGAGAAGCTATTGTGTGTCATATGCAATTCTATGTAATCCTTGGATCCTTATGAACTCTTTTAATGATAGCTGCTTGTGTTATCTGAACAGAAATTGAATGGTACCATGAATTTTACTGTAATCTTGGTAAGTAATATTTTATAGAAATTTTGCCCAGATAAAAATACATTTGATCCATTTTATAGGGTCCAGAAATCACCTCTATATATTTACATAAGTTTATCTTGAAAGTCATCTAATAAGATTCAGTTATTGAGTAATGCTTATTATACCAGAACCAAAACCAAACTCACTGCCATCGATTCTGATTCACAGCAATGCCCTTTGGGTTTCTGAGATGGTAAATCTTTATGGAAGTTGATTGCCCAGTCTGGCTGGTAAGTTTGAACTGCCAACTTTCTGGTTAGCAATCATGCCTTAGGGACTACACCACCAGAGTTCCTTAAAGCTTATTATAAAACATCTTATATTAAAAGATCATCCTACGTACTTAATTCTATCTAAAAATTACCTTGCAAACTGTAAAGTGCTCTATAAATCAAGGGTTTACTTTTGAGAAGTTTGGTGCTTTCTGAAATTAAAATAAGTGATGCTTTATAACAAATTTATTTATAATGAACCAATACAAATTCTCTTACTTCTTGTGTCCTTTCCTAATAGCATCTTTTTCATCCAAGTAACCCTTTCCCTGATCTTCCTATGAATATTAAAACCACACTTTAAAAGTTCTGAGAAACATTTATTATAACAATACTCTTGGACTAGTGCCTATCTTTTGACATTTATGTCAATGTGAATATTTTATTTTGCTTCAATTCACTTACTGTACGATATACGAAGACTCTGAGTTGTTTGCCTCCAATAGTCTCAAGTATTTGTCCATTGTAAAGCTCATTAAGGCCAACTTTTACTTTTAATATGTGATTCTGCAAAATTAATTTAAGAAGGCGCTGATCCATACTAAGAGTATCATCTATAAATAAATTAAGAGAAACAATTATTATATTTAGAATGTATCAAATTTCTCCTTATAAAAGAAAATCATGAAAATGGATAATCTCTGTATACTATTGATATGGATCCTACGGTCATATAATTTGAGTCAACTGAATGCTTAAGGCCAGAAATTCTACTTACCAATCCAACTGGAAACTCTGATCTGCTGTCAAATGACTACAGTATGGTTTCAGTCAGTCTAGCAATAGTGGATTTAATCTCTGTAAGGACTACATAGTTTTAGAGTGGTCACTGGAACAGCTAAATCCTATTGCTGGCAAAAGATTCTCTGACAATTTGATATCCATTATTAATTATAATTAGATATCCATTATATCCATTTCTGACAATTCGATATTATTGGAAAGAGAAAGCACAAAACCTCTTAAAGATGAGTTAGTGTAAACATATGTAGGCATCATTATTACTAAGAGGAAAATAGCATTCCTAGGAATGTCCATTATTTTACTAACAAATAATTTTCTATGTCATAATTTAAGATTTGGAAAATGTGCAAAAAAGTTACACTTGCTTTTTTTTAATTATGATATTTTGCCTCACAAATATATCTATATGAAATATTTTTCTGGAAAAAATGACAGATTGCATTAGTCTAACCTCTGTCTTTACATAAAAGTTATGAGATGAAGTACTGATATAACATGTCCATAACAAGGAAGTGTGTAATAGTCTCTCATTTTTTATTAAATTAAGGGGTACTAAATATGCCTATTTGTTCTTAAATATTGTTATATAGGTGTCAAATAAACAAATTAGATTTATTTTTCTTAAGATTTATTAATCATTTATATTGGAAATATGATTATATTTAAAGAATAACTGAATTCTCTTTATTAAACTTATACTTTCTTTTTGTTATTATTCATTGTAATTAAGTGTTTGAAATTAAATACAGGTTAGTAGAGACAACATAGTTCCAACACTTTGTGTGTGTAGCCTATGCAGCAACTTATCAACACCTGGTAAAATGTCTATAATTTATTTAAAATAATCATGTGGAAGTAAAAATTTGTGGGAGAAGGAGAAACAACAAAGTCTAGGACATACCAGAAAACGCTTTGTTCACAGGAGCCAGCAAAGTGTATTCCCCATCTGGCCTCAGAGAAGACGCCAAGCCTAATTGAGCCACAAGGTCTGTGAAAGTTGTTTGCTGATTTCCAGCCAGCTCAATAACTTGCTTGGCTGTAAAATAAACCATCATCATCCTATCAATGACATCAGTGTTGTTATCATTATCACAAAAGCAGTAAATCAATTCTTCACTATTTTATTATAAGCTATTTACTGCCAACATCAAAGTCATAAGACATCTCGCCCATCCCTAGAAAGAAAGTTCCAGCTTCCCTTTTTTGGAGTTGATAACCACAGAGAATTTCGGAAGGAGAATTTTTTTCTTTCTTCTTATTTTGAATTTTCTTTAATCCTCTCCTACTCACCTCTCATCTCCTTCTACCCTTATGAGTGTCTGAGCTCTTCCATTTATCCAAAGCTATTTGGCTGTATCTTTCCTTTTTGTTTACCCATGAAAGACTCCCATCACTGAGAACTTTTATACATCACTGAGAACCATCCTAAATGTTGCCGCTACATTTAGTTGCTGTCCAGACAGCTCTGACTCATGGCAACCCCATGAATGACAGGAGGAAATGTTCAGTCCTGCACCACCTTTATGATTGTCAGTATGCTCAAGTCCATTGTTGCAACCACTGTGTATTTTGTGTGCCATCCAGTCAAAGTGGCTCATCTTTCAGTACAATATCAGACAAAGTTTTTTGTGATCCATAGTATTTTGACTGGCTATTTATCAGAAGTATATCACCAGGCTCTTCTACCTAGTCTAGAAGCTCTGTTGAAACCTGTCCACCATAGATGATGTTGCTGGTATTTGAAATACTGGTGGTAAAGCTTCCAGCATCACAGCAACCTACCACAGAATGACAAACTGACAGGTGGTGATTTATAAATGTTAAGACCTTGGAAACACTGGAAAGCCAGGTTTCCATTTATGGAAAGTCTATGACTACACAGCCTGACTACTTAGCACCCAGCTCACTGTTTATTTGTGTTTGTGTCTCACATCCCATTCTTTATACTGCACATCCATATTTCATGCACTTACTGGGACTTACTCCTGAAGCACCATAATTGGCAAATAATTAGTGGAAGAATATGAAACTAGTGCTCACCAGAATCGGGAATTAGGACTTGATCAATCAAATGGATGACACCATTGTTTGTCACAATATCTTTTTTGTTCACCATTTTGATTCCATTTACTGTTATGCTGTCACCATCGCATCCTATTTCAATCGTGTTTCCTTCTAGGGTCTCAAAGACTGCTCCACTCATAATGGCCTCAGAACACTGGAGAGTATTTAAAATGTGGTACTTCATCAGAGCTGGAGAATAAGATAGAAGAACAACTTTCAGATCAAAGGAAATGACATTATCATTGAAGATACGTATGAAGATACGATTCATATCGTATGAAGATATATTTCACTGTGGAACAAGGTATTATTAAGAAATTGAGTAAATATCTAAGACAACTCAATGGCAGTGAATTTGGGTCTTCTTTTTTTCTAAGGACTGATTGGAAGTTATAAAATTCTAACTGCTAAGATTTTAAGAACTCCCCCTTCACCCCCATCAACTATACAATAGAAACAGTTCAACTCAGTAGGAAGTGGGAAGAAGTGAAGATCACTTTTAGGAAATCATTTGTAAAGCACTGGAAAATGTTGAGATGGATGTGGTAAATCACATTCCAGCTACCATAATGACGTACAATGATGTGAAAACAATATGAATTGCTGTTAAAGAAGATCTGAAGAATTATTTGTTGGTAACAGCCTACTTAATTTCAATTCTTATGATTTCTTATGTTTCAGAGTAGAACTACACTTCATACAGCTTCCAATGATGATGATAAATTGCCAGGCCTGTGTTTGAGGTGCCTCTGAGTGAATTCTAACTACCAGCCTTTTGGTTAGCAACAAAATATGTTGGTTTTCACCACCCAGGACCTTTTTTTTTTTTTTTTTTTACCACCCAGAGCCTTTGTTAGTGATAATTATTCCAAATTACCTGAGCAATGTTTTGGGTTAACAGCTCATAACACATTACTACAAGTAATTTGTGAAGAGCTTTTAACACAAGCTGAGAATAAGATAAATAATTCCCTAAGGAACACTAGTGAAGTAGTGGGTAAGGCATTTTTGGCTGCTAATCACAAATTCGGTGGTTCAAACCACCAGCTTGCTCCATGGGAGAAAGATGATGCAATCTACTCTCTTAAAGATTTACAGCCTTGGAAACCCAATGGGGGTTGCTTTGGGTCAAAATAGTCATGGTGGCAATGGGTTTGGTTTAGTGGGTTTTAAACATGAAATACAGAAAATAGCTAAAATCTAAGATGATTTCTTAAAGGACATTTAGAAGGATCTATGCCTTAATATAATATACTTACATCTATAGCTTCAAAATTTCTCACCTTAAATGGGTTTAACATGTTTTTGGGCAGGCAGAGTAAGTGAAATATGTTAGTCATAGTGTAAAATCTACTTGAAAATAGAAAGAAGCCAAATTCTGTATATTAATAAGTATGGACCCACAAGAACCATGTAATTTTTTCAACTCAAATATCTTCTAGCATAATTTAAAAATTAAAAGCATTGCATAAGATGCTTATAATACAAAAATTTGATGACCTAGTATTTATTTTCAATTCTCATTAATCCTTTTCGATGTCTGCTACTTATTTATTTGAAAGTGGCACACCAAAAGAATATGATCTTTAGGATATTCTCATTATTTAAGAATTACACCCTGACTACTCTTTCAAGGACTAGTTTTTAAGATTTTTATTGTCCATCTCAGAATAAAACCTTTTCTTTGCCCTTGCTTATCACGGTGATAATATTGGCATGAATGAGTCTTTTTAAAAATTTATTTCTCTTCTTGGAATTCTAGAAGACTTCTCAGAGGGAGAGACTGCTCAGTACCTTCAGAAGCCACTTTATCTCCCATGATCCTTTCTAGGACCCCTCGGGGGAGTTTCTCAAAAGCCTCATTGGTTGGAGCAAAGAGCGTAAAGTGACCGTCTCTTCCAAGGGTCTCCAATATATCAGATGTAATGGCAGCTGCCTGAAACACAAATGTACTTTTTAGAGGCTTGCATATTGCAAATGTAAAAGAAAATTACAACATATTTGGCATAGGCTAACATCTGAGAGTTAATTCCTTCACTGTTTAGAAGTTTGTTCTTGTTAGAACTTTAAAATATTCCCTTTTTGGCAAAACGACTCTGTGTTTTCTAACTTTCCTGAAATTATGTTTCTGAAAATGAGAATTCTGCCAAAGTTTGTATGAATGTAAAAATAGCAATGGTACATATAATATCTAAAATGAACATGTTCTAAATATACTAAGTACCCAGACTCATATAAATAGCCATTTTTTTAATCTACCATCTCCACATAAATATTATTTTATGAGATGATTTTACACATGTAAAATGAAAATAACTTTATTTCAAGAAACAATTTGTTACATTTTTGCCAGATTTATTTAATAACATTTTTATTGCTTTTCAATTTCAACAGGGAAAGAGGAGGAATTAAAAAAAAAAAAATGTTACTGTGATTTGGATGTAAATTTACAAAACAGATTCATTGCTTGACAGCTCCTACACATTTTGCTTCAAAGCATCGATCACAATCTGCACAATGGAACAGCTCTCCTCCTACCCCCTCCCTGTGATTGCTTCTTCCTTGTGTCCTTCTTATCTATGCATTCCTAACTGTCTAGCTTTCCCCCTATGCAAACAATGCCCTTCCAATCTCTAATCTTGACTGTTCTAAAGGGTACATCTCCTTAGGGTAGGTTTTCAGCTCATAGGCTTTCTATTGTTTGGGTGAGAGCTAACCCATGGGATTGAATTCAGTTCTAGGCATGAAGAGTAACCTGGGGTCATAGTCTTGGGGGCTTCACCAGTCTCCATCTTACCAGTAATTTTGGTCATTTTTGTATTTTTGAATTTTGTGTCACAATTGTCCTCCTGTTCCATCCAGGATTTCCAAATTTGATCCCTCTCCAAGTGGTTGCCATTTGTAGCCAGGCACCATCTAGTTCTTCAGGTCTCAGGGTCATGTAGACTGAGTTTCCTATAGTCCATTAGTCCTCTGAACTAATTGTTTCCATATATCTTTGGCTTTTTTCACTCTTCTTTGCTCCATACAAGGACAAATCAATAGTTGCATCTTAGATGGCCACTTGTAAGCTTTTAAGACCCCAGTTACTCATCAAAGTAGGAAGTAGAACAATATTTTTATGTACTGTTGTTGTTGTTGTTATGTGCCCTCGAGTTGGACCCAACTGATAGTGACCCCTCCTTGGGTTTCTGAGGCAGTATCACTACGGAAGTAGATTGCCCCATCTTCCTTCTGAGGAGTGGCTGGTGGGTTTGAACCGCCAGGCTTCTGGATAGCAGTCAAGTGCCTTAGACACTATGCTACCAGAGCTCCTATGTTGTGCCAATCAAGCTTGATCTCCCCTGAGATCATGGTCCTGAGCCCACAGGTCCACTGACTTACTTCCTCAAGGTGCTTGGTTGTGGCTAAGAAACTATCCCAAACTTGTCCCCTGGTAGTTGTAAAAAGTATATGGATGTTTTTGTAGTACATACAAATATATGCATAGGAGTATCATCAGCCAAATCTATCTGTGGTCATGGGTATATTCCTGTTTACCTACCCATACCTGACTCTTGCCTGTCTGCCTATGTCTCCATCTGTAGACTAGTGTTTGTTATTACTGACAATGCAGTGTTGTGTATATAATAATATTTGCCTCTGTTTTGTGTACCTTGAAAAGAAGAGGAATTTTAATAATTGACAATCTGCTGTTACATCTTGTGCTTACCCTAAAAGATGAGAGGTCATCTTCTGCTTCAATGAAGTCTTGAATGGAAGTGCCAATTTGTGTAAGGACACGGTCAATTACGTGTACAACACCATTTGTTGCAATCTGGTTCCCATGGATGATTCGAGCACAGTTAACAGTGACAACCTATAATAAGTTTGAGAAAATCAAAGGGCAAAAATCAGAGTGATTGAATGACTACTGACAGTGCAAGCTCCTTCCCAGATTTTCATCTGTGCTAGTAAATGTAACATGAAGAAACTGACATTTGCTAAATGTGAAGATTTACATATTACTAAGTCTGAAAAAGAAGCTGTAAGAGAAAACAAAACGAGTTAAGAACCCAAGACTAGTTACAATTAACATATCTGAAAAGATAAGGCACAGTTTTTTCACTTGCTCCTTCCAAAACAATAATCATTGCTTTTATTCTTCTCTTTTTTTACAAAGATAGTCACAAACTATTTCTAATCTAGGTCAGTACATCACATAAAGAAGTCCAATTAGTCCTAAAATAAATTCTGAGAGAAACAATTATTGCATAAATATAGTCAGTTCTATTCCAAATATTGCCTCATTTTTGGCCCATTTTCTCCCTGGAAATTTGACTTTTGAAAGAGCTTCATGGTCCTGATGGCAGTTTTCCCACAAAGACTCATATCCAAATACATAAGAACTCCTCTTAGTAGAATAGTCAGAGGCTGAATAACATCCATTCTCTGATTATTATTTTCATTTTCTGAATAGAAAAAGAATATTTAAACACATTGCTACTAAAAATTAATTTTTAATAACATCTAAGTCTACTGTGAATGAACTGTTAATTTAATTTCTCTTTCATAATCATTTGTTAATAGAGAAAAGTCACTGAATTAGAAATGTAAATATCCTATATTTGGAAGAAAGTCATGACATGCACGTATATTGTTATCACTACATTTTGTTATTTCTTTGGACATTATATAAAAGGTACAAAAACTTAGAGAGAGATTATTCAGAAATGTAATTTATATTAATGAAACTTACCCCATTAGGATAATGGTTAATGAAAAGCCCCAAATTATTATACATCGAAGGAAGAATCATGCCATTTTTCAAGTCCTTGGTCAACATCCTTTTATTAACCATGTGGCTATGTAAAGCATTCAATAATTCAACATTTACATTGCTCTCCAAACCCCTACGGATATCCTGGGTAAAAAAAAGTGATAGAAATTTACTTTATTGTGATTAATTATTCAAGTCCCTAGAATCACAATATTTCTGCTTTCTTGTTGTTTTCTCAGGGAGCTCTGATCAAAGACTGTTGAAGATAGAGTATTCTACTTCTGTAAAGATATCCTGCCCCAAGAAACCAATAGGGGGTCACTATGAGTCAGAATGGACTCAATGACAGTGAGTTTGTTTTTTTGGTTTCACATTGCATTATCCAAATGATCAAATAAAATTAACATAAATCAAGAAATTTTAAAAATTCACATACTGAGTTAAGAATAATGAATCTGATAGAGTGTTTGGACACTATTAGAGGCATAGAAATTTTATTAGATGAATGTGTAGATGAGGAGGAAATCTTGACATAAAGTAAAAACAGGGAGTTATGAAATTGCTAGGTCTGCAAAATATCTTGAGTGGTAAGTAAAACAAAAATGGCATAATATTTGTATATAATATTTGAATTTTAAAAGTATTTTATAATAGATTCAATAATTCAATCATTTTCAGTCTAATACCACGCATTATTGTATGGTACTGGATGCTACAGGAAGTAAAATGATAAATACGGTAAAGTCTTTACATCTAAGGTGCTCTATTATCATATAGCAGCAGATAAAAATAAACATGATATTGACATAAGGAGAAAAAAATTCTCTCTGCAGTCAAATGAGGAAAGCTTATTGTTCTTAAAGTAGTTTTGGTGATAAGCACTGAATATTAGATAAGATTTAAACAGGTGGGAATGGAGTGATGATGATTCCAAGTTTATTTATTTACAAATAGGGAATACTGGAAATATAAAAGTTGCCCAGGTTGGTAGGATGTACTTTTATATTTCTCAGGTAACATTAACAGAAATTTAGAAAGTTATATGGGACAATAATGTGGAGAACTGTAATGACTGAGTAAGGAGTAAATTCAATTGACAGCAGAGAGCCACTGAAGATTTTATGACACTGGAGTATAAAGATCAGAACATTGCTTTAGGAAGGTTAATATGGTAGTAATGCATATCATAAATATTAGTATTTCTGATATGACAGTATTAGCTAGGAAGAAATTGGATCATGGCATATGGCTGACTAACAATACATTGAAAGAGTTGGTGAAAGGAGAGACAAAGATGGTTGCCAATTTTCAAGTAGGAACACTGAACGACTGAGAATGTGAATTATGGAAGCAAAGGAAGCAGAAAATCAATTGTTTATTTGCAGAAGAAAAATGATATATGATTTAGGTAACTTTTATTTAAAATGTAAATTATTCATCCAAGAAAAAATATTAACATGAACATTAGATATAGTCTTCTGGGTTCAGAAGAAACAAGTTAAAGAAATGCAAATTTCATAATTATATACACTTAAGTGATAGCTGAAGCTATCAGAAAAGCAAAGTTCAATTCTTAGGAGAGACTTTAATAAGACTCGTAGTGCATAGGGCATTTGACTGCTACCCAGAAAGCTGGTGGTTCAAAACCACAAGCCCTCCTCAGAAGGAAGGTTGGACAATCTACTTCCATAGTGATACCACCTCAGAAACCCAAGGAGGGCTCGCTATGAGTCAAATGCACTTGAGGGAAGTGAATTATTTTTAAGCATAAAGTTCACAATAAATCAGAACTGACTCGATGACAAGGAACAACAACATTCTTAAAGGAAGAAGAACAAAATAACCAAACCAATTGCCACTGAGTCGATTTCTAGTCATGGTGAGCCCTTGTGTGTTAGAGTAGAACTGTGTCCCTTAGGGTTTTCCATGGCTGTGACGTTTCAGAGATAGATCATCAGGCCTTTCTTCTTAGGGATCTGTGGGTGGATTTGAACTGCAAACCTTTCAGTTAGTAACTGAGGGCTTAACCATTTATACTACCCAGGGACTCTCAAGAAAGAAGAGGAGTCAGCAAAAGGAACTGGAAAGATGTTCACAGAGACAATGTGGAGAAGGTAAACCAAAGGAGAGAGTTCTACCATGGGAGCAGTTAAATACTCCATCAGTATAGCAAGATGATATCTAGAGGAGTCTACCTACATTTCCTAAGTATTATTTGATTCCAATAGTAATTATCAAGTCATCTTCAAATCAAGTATCACATAGGTTTTACAGATTTGAAAATTGAGTCATAACTTAGTGTGCTGTAAATCAACCTATGCAAAAAAAAAGTCTGAAAATCAAATGTTTTAGATACACACTTAAGTTTATCAATCCAGCAATCTACAAACAACCTTGTATTAACATAAATTAAAGTACATAGTTAAATATGTCTATATACTATAACAACATAGTTTTTAAACTCCAGTAGGCTTTGGATCTATCTATTAGGTATGTCATATAACATTACTTATAGTTCTTCAGAACAACAACTAAAAGAAAACCTAAAGGAATAAAGCAGGATAATAATAAGTGACTTTTAAGTCCACTCTGTATATCTTTATTTTTATTAGTCTATGAGCCTGCTAGGCAGTTATTTTATTTATGGATGTATTAAAATGCTTTGCTCCTTCTCCCAGTAACACATCCTGTTATATAATCTCACATAAGCATGATAAATCCAAAGAATGGATTTTTGACTCCTAGTGACCCCATAGCATGGAATAGAACTGCCCCATAGGGTTTCCATGGCTGTATATCTTTATGGAAGCAGACTCCCTAATCTTTCTCACACAGAGCAGTTGGTGGGCTCAAACTGCCAAAATTTTTGTTAGCAGTTGAGTGCTTTAACCACTGCACCAGAGCTCCTTATATGCATAATAGAAAGACATAAAGTTTTCATTAATATTTAAGTTAATAAATCAATTAAAATGAAAAAAAAACAATAACAATAAAAATAATTAATTACCGAATCCAAGTTCTCCCAAGCCTCATTACTTGGTGCAAAGTAAGTGAATGACCCCTTTCCTTCGATCTCTTCCCTCAGTTTGGAGACATCAGAATAGCGCTGTGTTGTGGTGGCCCCCACAATGCCCAGAGTACCATAAACATGGTCAATAGGCATAACTGAAATAATCAAGAAATTAATAAAAATTTAGGGTAATATTTCCAGAATATTATTTCACAATTATTTAATCTTCACACTAAGTATCTCAATACATTTAACTGATGAATTTAGCAATTATATTTCATGAATCATCAACTTCATAGGAAAGTTGCCTCTGAGTGTTAAATAATAAAATATGACTAAAAACCACATCCTTTGTGATGAGGAAAAATATATTTTAAATTATCATTCTAGTTTAGTCTATTCAGGTCTGAATTTTGATATATCAATAATGTTGTTGTGAATTATTTTTAGGGGCTGATGAGTCAGCTCGAATTCTCTGTGACCCTAAGTACAACAGAAGAAAGCTATGCTGAAACCTTTCCACCATGGGTCACCCTGCTGGTATTTGAAATGCCACTGGCATAGCCTCCAGCCTCACAGCAACATGCAAGCCACCACAGAATGACAAACTGACAGAAAAATGGTGAATGACAATAATTATTCAATTATATTGTCATAGCTATCAGTGATTATGTCATTTGAAAAAAAATAGGATGCTCTTCACTTCTCACTGAGCAATGATTTCTATCATGTAGGCTTGAAGCTTCTTAATCATATGATGTTGTTAGGTATAAGGATACAAATTTTACAGCATAGGATCTCTAAAAGAAATATGGACACCTGCTTGTTTTCATCATGATTTCAGAAAGGAACTAGATCAAAGCATGTAACACTTCCATAATGTCTCTTCTGCACTTCAAAAGGAAGACAGATGTGTTGATATCTACTCAAAGGAATCTCTCTAGCATGGTATACACAACTTTTTTTTTTTGTCTCTAACCTTTTAATATTAGAAAATTAGTATGATTTGGATAATATCATGAGAAGAATTGGTTATTACATTTGTAACTACCTGAAAACTATATGACAAAACTAATAAATTATAAATTCAGGATTTAAAAATACCTCAAAAGAATGAGAAAAAATGCACCAAAACTAACAAAGTAAAAATGTAACAAGTCCTATACTTAAGTTACAAAAAAAACAAAAAAAGTCCCAGAGATACTCAAGGAGCTCTGATGGTGTGATGCCTGAGGCATTTGGCTGCTAACCAGAGGTTGGCAGTTCAAACCCACCTCAGAAGGAAGGTTGGGCAATCGACTTCTGAAGAGATATTGCCTCAGAAACCCCAAGGAGGGGTCACTATGAATGAGAATTGACTCAATGGCAGTGAGGTTGGTTTAGTTTAGTTTTGTTTTGTTTTGTATTGTTTTTTTAGAGAGACTCAACTTGATAATGTTATAGTAAAAAAAGGATTACAAACAAACCCACTACCACTGAGTTGATTCTGAATCATAGTGACCCCTATTGGGTTTCCAAGGCTGTAAATCTTTACAGAAGCAGACTGCCTCATCTTCCTTCTATAGAACAGCTGGTGGATTTGAACAGCCAACCTTCTAGTCAGCAGCCAAATGCCTTACCTACTACATCACCAGAGCTCCTTAAAAAGAAAGGAACTATAGTCAGTTTTAATTGATTGTAAGCACCATATGCACTAATTATAAGACATGGTCAGCAATGACATTAACCAAAATGTGTGTCTGTGTGTGTGTGTGAAACAAATGCTGTTGAGTTGATTCTGACTCATAGTAACTTCAAGAGTGTCAAAGTACCATAAAGTTTTCAGATAAGATTTTTCAGAAACAGATTCCCAAGCCTTTCTTCCAAGACCCCTCTGGGTGGACTTAAACCCCCAACCTTTTTATTTTCAGTTTAGTGCATTAACTACCACACCCAAGGGCTCCATATCAAAGTATAGAGTTCTCAGCATGTGAGATATTTGTCTAAATATTCTCTCAGTTTATCAGACCTGCATGGATTGTAGACAGCAGTCTGAGATCACATGTGGAAAGATTACTGGACTACAGACTCTCTGTGAGATTGTTTCCATGGTTATGAGCGCTCCAGAATCCATGTCACATTATAAGAAGTGAGTGAGGATGGTTATCACAGAGAAGAGATTATAGTGCAGGAGAAAGGTTAGTTGGTGAAGGGACATTATAATTGCCATTAAATATTTGAATGTCCGCTATTTCAAATAAATAGATGCACTATTTTTTTCCCTCTGTTTGACAGAGTTACATAAGCTAAATTTCAATATGAAAAACATTATAAAAAGAGAACTGTTCAACTAGAGAAGATAATCTCTTGCCAAACATTTAGCTACTTGTTTCTAAACAACTTCTAAGAAATAAATTTCGTAGGGGGGAATTTATTCTTGAAGGAAAGTTGAACTTATTTCAATTTATGACTACAATTATGCAGTTGTATTAACCAGCATCCAGTGTTTAAGCAATGTTTTAATATTTTGTCACCATAATAAATTTTTGATTTATCATGTGTGGGAATAGATCTTGGATTAATCATGGTACTAAACACATACTCACCCACATGCTCACACCCACACCCCCCACACACACACACAAATAATTGGCTTCATCATAAGCTACTTCAACTCTTTTTCCTTTAAAAAGACAAATTCTTCATTTAATTCAGTAATTGTTATATTACCTGCTGGGCAGCCTTTCATTCCTTCCATTCTCATATAACCAGGGCAACATTCATATAGTACAGTCCTGGATATTGGAATAAAATTAATATTAAAATGAGGAACTATATAGGATACATTTTGACATAAATTTAGCTAAACATATCAGTTATTGTCATGATTTCTTTATCAAGAGTCTAGAAATCAATTTTTTTAAAGTGACTACAAGATACCAAATTTAGTTTCATTTCTTTCTACAGTGTCAGAGCATGTGGAAAAGTCCCAGGATCTAGAGTCAGAAATACGGAGTTTGAGTCCCAGTTCTGCAATTTGGTAGATTTATGACATTGAGCAAGTCATTTAATCAATTTGAAACTCAGTTTCCACAACTATGTAATAGGAATATATGACGATACCTATTCGATGCATAGTTAGAAGTCTCAAAATGATGCATTTGAAACATCAGAAAGTACATTAATTCATTTCAAATAAATATAGTTGCTAATTAAAATAAATAATGATATTTCTGGTTTGAATTCATTTTATCAGATTATAGATCACCTT